TGGCTAAATTTTGAAAAAAAGCAACTAAACTTCCTTTGAAAGGATACATATATGGGCTCTCTTCCTTTTCTTTTCTGTTAGGCGGTGTGGAATTCTTCTTCATATAATGTATTATGAACTCATCATTATAACCTGCAACTACTTTCCAGGAGCACAATAAGTAATAAACTCGTATTTGTCTTTTCTCATTCTACCCAGAAGGAGATCTGTATGTAGAAAGGACTGCTTTTCTTAAGGAGTTCTTTACATGTACATATTATAAGTTCATGATACAGAAGACAAGATCAAAGAACTACACCTTACTCGCAGAAAAGAAGGTGGTAATGTTCATATGAACCTTAGTTCCCATGGCAGTTCATCCCAAAGTTTGGGACAGGTCCTGAGAAACCTGTTTTCTGCAGAGAGAGGCTTTATCCTTACGGCTGAAAGAACCACTGTTGCAGAGAAGAGTTAATATGTACTATGCCAGAGGAGAGTTAAGGGCAATACTTTTCATTCCAGAGCTCTAGGGGATGCCTTAGCCAAAGCCACTGACCACCTTGAAAGATAATGATGAAAACTTTGAAATTGACATAATATAATGGACCAACAGAAACAGCAGAGGACAGGAAGGAAGTGTTTAGAGTATCTCCTGTTGCTAATTATATATATAACAGCATTACATATTAGCTAGAGCCTTCTAAGGGGAGGAGGCAATGGTTTCAGGCCCAACTACATTGCATCATTGTACTCCAGATGAAAGGTAAGAAAGGTAGACAACTGAGATCAGGTCTTTATCACCCAGAAAGAGGTGGAATCTCTAGGCAAACTGAAGAGTTATTAGATAATTTTATGTAAGTGTAGCATCAGTGAGGATGTAAGAATCAAGAATAAACCTTGGCTTGCAACTGATCAACTGAAAGTGAGTATCTTCAACCAAAGAAGGTGGCACCATGACATCAATAACCTGTCCGCATTTGGTTTTAACTAAAAAGATCCTTCTGAGGTTGGAGGTGTTGTTTCCTATTATTATTTCTTTAAGGTACCCTTCCCCCAAAACATCAGGCCCCAGAGGAGGAGCACCTAGGCCAAGGGTCAGTGAGGATCTAGTCAGGGAACTTCTGGAGGGACTGGATGTATTTAAATCAGCTGGTCCAGACGATCTCCACCCCAGAGTGCTGGGGGAATTAGCTGAGGTTATTGCGGGACCCCTGGCACGGCTTTACGAGCACTCGTGGTGCTCTGGTGTGGTGCCAGAGGACTGGAAGAGGGCCAATGTGGTTCCCAACTTCAAAAAGGGGAGGAAGGAAGACCCAGGGATATAGACCAGTT